AAGCAGCTGATAGCTTTGAGGGCTCCATGTGAGCCTCCATGCTGTGGGCCCTGAAGCTTGTGCCATTGCTTTCCATGTGTAGAGTGTGTCTGTCTCCTGAGAGAGATGATCAGCAGGGTGACAGCATGGATAACATGATCAGAGGAATGAAAATCCTCAGGTCATAGAGAAGAACCAGGTTGACCACACTGGTCTCAGGAAAGTACTCCTCAGTGGTGTTGGAGGAGGGGATAGGAGTGGAACTGTTTCCATACGCATTGAGGGTATCTGTCGAGAAGGGGAAGCTGAAGCATAAGGAGATGAATGGGGATATCCTCAGAAGACAAGCCATCAGCACCATGATTTTCCTCTTCATCATGGAGAACAAAGGTGAATGAAGTTTGTAATTCAAAGGCAAAAAACTGAGCCAGGCAGCAAGCCGGAGTTTGGAATAGCTGAGAGAAATGACGATGACTTGGAAAAGTATATACACTGTGTTTTGGTTATAAGTGATCCAGAAAAGTAGGCTGTAAGTATTCTCCAGCATTATCCATTCCTTTAACAAGATCCTGAAAAAGCTCAACATGACCCAAATGCAGTCACTAACAGGGAGTCTTTTGCTCCTGGCCCACCTGGCCCCATGTATGGCCAGGATGAGGCATTCCCAGCCATGCCAGTGATGCACCCTGTTGGAGAGATCCCCATGTTGAAGAGAGTTTTAAACCTGGACGTGTCTTTACCTGTGACATCTGTTTTTACTGTCGCCATTCTCTTTGGCCCTGATGTTCAGGTTTCCACACCAAGAACTGATACCCCTCCGCAATCTTCTGACCTTCACTCAGTGTTATTACAATGTTTTCTCCAGGTAATGGTTCCTTACATTTTTTTATTCATTTGCTTGCCACATGACTACCAGTCAGAGGCTTGAAATGCAAATGGTGAGAGGATCTGGTTACAAGCTGTCTCCATTTTCCATAAAGACCCATTTGTCTTGGGCTTTCAGGAACTTACTGGAAAACATTTCAGACAGGTTCCTATCATAGCACCTTTGTAATTTATTTACTTTAAGTTCATATTCATCTGACAGGGCAAGAGTCCCAGGTTAGGAATCTTAGTGACACCTGCCTTTTTACTGTTTGTTGCAAGACATGTTATCTGTTAAATTACCCGTAAAAATGTAGCATCTTTGATCTACCTCTTCTGTTTCCTTCATTGTCTCCCTTATTTTGGGAGATGTTTTTATCCTGTGGTGAGCACGCTTATGAGTAAGAAATTCCTGTCATATATAAGCATATATACTTACAACCAAGTTTCTCCCAGAAAGGCCAGATATTAAAATGTCCCCAAGCAGTACATGGGAAAGCCAGAATTGGATGCCACTTGGGTTAATTAGACACAAGGAAAACTGCCTTGTGAGAGTTTCATTGTCTGTGTGTATATCACCAGCTATAACTTACTGAAATCCGCATCACTGTTTGAGCTCAGTATGAGGTACAGTTAGCCTGGAAAGGCTGCAGAGTGTTCTGAATACAGTGTTGAACTTGGGATATGTGACAAAACACTGTTCCTTGAAATTTAATTCCCTACTTCTTCATTCTGGCTGTGAAACAGAATGAACTCTGCAACTTTAAAAAAAACACATAGATGCCCAGGACTCATTGCTGTTTCTAGTAAATCAGCATCTAAGATAGGGCCCAGAAATGTTTTATTTTTCAAAAGCTGAATTGTCATATTGCTCTTAGCCAGATGGAGAACTAGTATTATCTAGAGACCAGTGAGTCTGGGGCTTGCAATAGTTTTATCTTGTACTGCCTAATGTCAAACAGCATTATTCCACCAGTGCATAAATTTTTCTTATTGGCCAAAACCTAAATTTAGGAGATTGCATATATGCACAAAAATTCTCTCTTCTCTTAAAAAATTAGAAGATCAGGCAACATTGGGTCTACATTGTGAATCAGTTCAAGTGGAATAGTGGCTGCCCATTTAAAGTAAGGTATGTATGTACTCTTACAGCATCCACTAATTCCTAATATCTTATTGACCCCGAGGCTTTGTGCCAGTGTGCTTGCCCTATTATAATTTGTATAAATATAAATGGAGCTGATAAAAATGGATTTCCCCACCCCAAATTAATGTGATTTCAAAGAACTCAAATTTTTATTATTATATTTGTATAAAAATAGCACTGTAGAAAGCAATATATTACAAAATTAAGAAAAGATTGTTTAGAGAAATGAAAATTCATGTTAGGACAAAAATGTCTACAAGAATGTTCAAAGCAACTTTATTCATGATAGCCAGAAATGGGAAACAAAAACATTTGTTGTCAAGTTCTATACCTTTGGTAACTTCCGTTGCTTCTACTAAATAGAGGAGAGTAGTGTTTTTCAGCAGCCTTCATGTATTCCAAAGCCAAACTCATCTTTTGGTTTATTTTTGTCTCAACTTATTTAACTTTGTAATAAGCGATATCTCCCCAAATTTCTTGCATATAATTGTTATTTCCACTGTTCTGGTACCATCTTCTCTTGGTGTTCTTTTATGTTTTTCTCTGTTTTTAAGAGTCAAGAGCAGTGGGGGCTGGTGAGCTGAAACCATATTTATAGGGATGTGGGCCTAATTCAGTTATTATTCTGTGATCCTTTCTCACTTGGGGAGCTTAAATGGAAGCACTTCTGTTTTAGGGAAACTCTTAATAGGGAACCAAAGACCAAAGGTTTCAAATTCTTGGCTATTAAGTTCAAAAGCTTTGGTCCAGATGTAGAATAGAACAGAGTTGGAAGAATATGTGATTAGGAGAGTCATGTTCCTTTCACTTTTCTCTCAAGCACTGCCATGCAGGTTTGGAAATGCTTTTCCAAGTTGGGGAGGTAAAGAAATGGCAGAGAAGGTCAACATCTCTATGAACAGGGGGCCCTGCATCCCAGCCCACCACTCATGGCTGTATGGAGTTGTCAAAAGCAGAGGGGAAGCTGTAAAATTGTGCCTAAGTCTTGGCAACTTCCATCCACACTTGGGAGAGCCACTAAGCCTTCCTTGTAGTCACAAACATTTTTGGAAACTTTCTGAGAGAGTTAGTG